CACAAATCTTTGTTCGCTGATGACACAGGCATTTCCGGTAAAGGAAGAAGTCTTCGTATTATTTGCAGCAGACTGCAGAAATGTTTAGACATTTTCTCTTCTTATTTACAAAAATGGAAGATTTCTCCCAACGCTTCCAAAAGTCAACTTATAATATTTACACATAAGCCTAGAGCTTCCTTTTGAAACCTAGTAGTAGGCACATAGTCACTATGAACGGAGTTCCAATTTCCTGGTCAAACCAAATGAAATATCTTGGATTAGTACTTGACTAACTTTAAAGATCACATTGAGGGCATTCAAGCCAAATGTAGCAAACATATAAAATGTTTGCATCCTTTTATAAACAGGAAATCCAAACTTTGCCTGAAGAATAAACTTCTAATATTTAAACAAGTTTTTAGACCGGCCATGCTTTACGCTGTGCCAATATGGTCTAGTTGTTGCACTACCAGGAAAAAGCACTTCAAATGATTCAGAACAAAGTTCTGAAGATGATTTTGGAGTTGCCTCCCTGGTACAGCACTACCGAGGTACATAGAATTTCGAATGTTGAGACTGTAGAACAAATGTCCAATAAAATAAATAATAATTTAAGGCTAAAATCGTTGCAATCCTCAATTGCAACGATTAATTCCCTTTATACTTAGATAAGATTTAGTTTTAGTTATTTAGTTTTAAGATTTCAATTTTTATACTGACATGCAGGTTAAAAAAAAACCTGTTTAAAATACTGAATTGGCAAGGCAGGAACAATGTTAAAACACTTAGATATATATATTTCATTACAATTAAGGCTAGTTAGTTACTGTAGTAACTGGAGCCCCTAGGTTAAAATGAAATGTAATTTATTTTGAATTTGGAACAAATAAAGAGTTAAAAAAACAAAACTCGAGTTCATTTTAGGGCTTTGAAAATGTGGAACCCTGCTTTTAGCACTCGCTGTTCTCTACCAAGATGATACCGATAGGGATCCTGCTTCCGGCGAGATGGTTCTGTACCCGTTCACGACTCACATGGCCATGAGCTAGAACGTTCAGCGTCTTCTAGCGTCGTGCTTGTTACCGTTCAGACGACGTCATCCACAAAGCCAACTATCTCGACACCTTTGGGCAGCTTGAGCGTCAATACGCCGTTGTACATCCCGTTCCAGAGCGTTGGACCAAATATGGAGCTTTATGTAACTCCCGCCGTGATCCTAATCGATCTCTGTCCCATGTCTGCAGCATAGACCAGTACCAATTATGAGGCAGCTCATCGGGCAACTAGCATGTCGTGCCCAAAACGTGAGGAGTTCATTGCAATCCACAAAAAGGGCCTCCACGCAAAACCAACCAGGTGATAGAAGGGTTCCGGAGAACAATAGGTAGAACAATAAGGTTTTAAACAAAACTTGTAACACTGAAAGAGCAGCACTATCAAAACAAATTGCAGATCCTATTACTAGTAGTACTGCTATAAATTAAGCTCAGCTTCTGCATTCTAACAGGACAACACTTTATTGCTGCTCTTTTGAACTATAGCTTGAGCATTAGCTCTATGGCTTTTTTTGACGTAGAACTACGTCTTTGTCGACTATACTGGGGTGCAAATCAATAAATATGTGTGGTGAAGTAGTTCTAGGTTTTGAACGCTTGTAACTTTGTCATTTATAGATGAAATCAAAATCCAAATACGCCAATCGATAGGATATTAGGATAGGATATTACATTACGAACCTGAATCGGTGAAATAAATATTTTTCCAATTTTTCTGTGATAAAACTTTTGGAAATGTACAAACGATAATTTTATCGCTGTTTTAATGAAATACGCGTTTTTCCCAAACCCAGTCATCATAATCGAGTACCACTTGGTTGCACATCGTTCTGAAAAGATAATTAACAGCACTGCTGTCGCGCTTCTGCTCATTACCGCTTCGGACGGCGTGGTACTTGGTCCTGCAGTAAGCCGGAGCAAGTCAGTAGTTAAAGGTGACTTGGGTCTCGTTCAACTAAGGGGCTGTTCATTAACTACGAGGGGAGAGGATAGAGAGGCAAGAATCCCAAAAAAATTCTACGTAGTTAATGAACAGCCCCTAATACGAAACGCGGAAATGTTATTTATGCAACCCCCCCCCCCCCTCTCCTATAACGACAACCTGAAAAAAACATGGACTTTAACGACCACTTTTTCCGGGAAATAATTGCTAAGCAAACTACAATGTAGTAAAAAAAGGTTTAATTCCGTTAATTTTTTTTACCCCAAGGTTCCAGTTTGAGAAAAATTGCTCACTATATTTTGATGTTATTCTGTGGGTGATTTACCACCAACTGACTGAAAAACATATCTGGTACCTCTATATATGCAATTAGATAAACACCCGAAGTCCATCCTTTTTTACATATTCTGCACAAAAGATACTTTCTGCCCCGCCCCATCAATAAAAAACGGTGGGAAATCCTGTCAGGGGCGGGGCTTAGAAAGTACTTTTTGTGCAGAATATGTAAAGAAGGATGGGCGTCGGATGTGAACCCAAATGCATATACCGTGCATCATAGTGAAAGAAGCTCTAACTACTGTTTCCAATTGGGTTCTTTAAGGGTATTGAGGTAAAGGCATATTCGTTATCTACATTAAACATGAGACCAAAATCCGAAATTTGATCAAAATTGGGGCACTGAAACTATTTTAAATAAGTGCGATTACATTAGAAAATATCACCATCTTAGTGCCCCTCATTGGGACTTTGTATGGGAGCGAGCTGTCAATTTGTTAGTTTAGTGTCAAAGAGTGGAGTTAATATTTTGCTCTAAACTTTGATTAAAAAATCGAGATGAAAGTCTACGGTTTCGAAAAAAAAATATCGTTGTGCTCAAAAAACGAAGCTCTTCCAGATGATGTATAAAATCGACACACTTTTTTTAAATTAAAGAACCCAATTATTACTCAGGAAAGCTTGTGTGATTACGAGCCCGCGTTTCAATAAAATCGTAGTTTGAGAACATTGTTCATTTTTAGGTATTATTAGAAACTAGAAAGTTAGACTTTTTCACCAAACACATTTATATGTCCATATGTAATATTCATAGAAAAACACGGCATACATTTAGACGCAGTGCGAAAATGACATGAATCTGTCCAACCAAAATCCATTACCTTACACCGGGGCAAATAGAAACGCGTGGGGAATTTGAAACGGTAGATGTAGCTCTTAGTGGAAGTGAATAATTACTGAGATTATTTCTAATATAGTTTTCGGTAGTACACAATGCCTCTCAAAAGTCATAAAAATGAATATTCACTTCCAAAGAGATAAACGTACTATTTCAACTTGCACCGGTGTACCATAACTATGGTGTTTACTATCAACACATTTAACATTTGAGCATTTGACTTTGAAATTCAATAGCTGAATCCCCTAATTTTCAATTAAAGTTGTACTAAGCACCTATTTACTTATTGGAAACCAAACGTTTAATTAGAGAAAAGTCACAGTATTCTATTTTACAATCATTCTACGAACACGCTGTAAAGTACATAATGATTATGCATGGTAATTTTATGATAGGGTTGTCCTGCAAATTGGAGAACAAAGAGGTGCTTAAAGCCCATATGATCGTTATACCCCTTCCTCCCCTACTTCGTTGACATTTTGTTCAATATTTAAAGAACCGTCTTCTGACAGGTAAAACAACTGCCTGTTGCGTTATCATAAAATGCAATCTTCACTTTCTTCTCTGCTTCAGAAACCTAACTTAAAACTAATGATGGAGCTACTGAAAAAACTTAATGTATTTTTTGGCAATTGTTTTATCCCACAACATGCATGGCGTTTTTGTGTACTATACTGAGGTGCAAATCAACAAAAAAATTGTGACGAAATAGTGTCAGTTCCTATTGTAGTCGATGTCGATGTCAAATTTAGTGTACATTGATCACAGGAAAATAACTCAATATTGATCAACCCATGGTAGTTATTTAGGGGAAATTTTGTCAATTCTTAGCCATTAGCCATTTAAATACATTATCTCATACGTAAGATGAACGGTGGTCTGATGATGCTAACATGAATTGTCACGAGTTTTGAACCGTAACCGAAACATTGAAATACTTTAAAAATTTAAGATAAAGTATAATAATCAACAATGCATGAAATACATCAATTTTGCGTATGAATGCACGAAACGAATGTAAATGATTTTCCATCCCTGGTTCTACGTCATACTGCGGTCGTGTCTTGGACACAACCCTTTAAGTTTTTTAAAGATTCCCGCTCCCACACACTTTTTTTGTGTTTGAACTTTAATGTGATCCCATCAAATTATTTTCGATTGGCTTACCTGATTCGAAGTTTGACGAATGTATTCAGCACGAAAATAATCCACCAAAAAATCGAAGAGAGCGTATCCTGTAAGAAGCTATACATTTCTCGAATTAGTTCCATACATGGCTCAAGATTGATTAGCATAACACACTACGTAGGAGCAAGGAGCACTCTAAACAAGCGACAGTAAAAGCTTCCGGTATTATTTCCGGGTTCAAATCTATGTGAAGCCCTATGAACCTTTTTGAACTCATAATAGAACCGAAAATGTTACTTGGGAGCACTCATTAAAGTATACTTACCAGAACGAAAAACGTACGATCAATCCACCTGCAACTTAACCTCGAACCTCGCAAAGTTAATGCCATTGATTGAATGCCGGCCATGAATTAAAAAATTACGCTCTGATATCGATGAGATATCCAACGGAATTACTAAATTCAGGCTCAATTTAAATCGCACTAACCACTGCTTGAAACAATCAACCGATTCCAGTCTCTGCCTTCGGCAGACTAATAGGTACACATTTTCAAGCGTTAAAAATAGCCTTAGATTGGAGTGGAACAAAGTAGCCAACCAACATAGAAATGTATATTTGTCCAATTTGCTTTCCCTATCTTCCAGTTGATGTCTTATTGTTCTATGTGATATTTACATGTTGCTTTCTTTCCATATGCTCTAGCCATAGTCAATATTACATGCAAAATATTTATTCGTTTTCTTTGATCCATTTCACAGAAACATTTAGCTACATTTTCTTCACATGGGCTTAGGAAATAGAGTTTTATAAAAAAAAAAAGTTTAAATTAATATGAATAAAGAACAATTTACACCTTCAATATTTGAATTCCCTCCGTTGAAACAGGCTTTCATAGTGTTAAATAAGACATTAAATATGTAATTCTATCCGATTTTATGGCAGCAATTTTTTTTTTGTTTTATCTTACTGTTAAGATCCTTTCGATAAATAGTGTTCAGAATAGGATTAACACTGAAAACAATGATTGGCAGTTGTATTGGATTAAGTTTGTCTAAATAAATACTTAAAGTTACTCAACAGTTTGACTTGAATGTATTTTACAAGGCTTTCAATTAGAACACATATGTTTAGTTGCATTCGATCACTTACGATGTAAAGTGCAAAATTATGATTTAGGATCGGTGGTTTGTACGCGTACGTTTCTATCATACATGTGGGAAAGTGTCCAAGAAAGGCACATTGATTACATATGTTCATATCTCTTCGTTGTTACAATCGCAGAAACGGTTTTTCGACGTTCAACAGGAAGCTACATTAAAGTAGGAAGCCTCTTGGAGCATTTCGATTCGTTTATACAGAATAAGTATATATTTTGTTGTTTTTGGTATGTCGGAGTTCGCCATCTTTCGGACTGTCGGTCTGAAACGAGGGCCAGGTTTCGCTTTACTTGCATTGTACCCTCACTAAGTAAGCGTATTGGCGTAAAAGAATGATCTACTATGTACACGGATGCAATGATCGAAATGGGTTAATTAACAGCTAGGCACTCGCTCAGTAACACGTTGTGAAGGTTGTCCATGTCGGTCCAATCTTTTCGTTCGTTTCGTATCACCACATTTCGTATGCAGCCCTTGAAGTTCTCTCGCAGGAGGAGCGTTCCACTGGGTGCGGTGTCTGTAAACAGGAAAATATGCTTAACACAAGGAAACGGTCGAATTTTCAGGCAGCAATATTACCTGGAAGTCCCCCGATATAGAGTGGTGCCTTTGTGGCAACCCTTCGCAGAACGTCATTGGATTGCACCAGAAGAGTATTGGGCGGATAGTTGTCCACCCGGAGCACGATTTGATGGTCTTCGTACAAGGCGGACACATTGTGCCATCGGTTGTCGCATAGGGTGTACTTGGAGGGAAGTGTGCTCTGAACTCGGATGGGGTACCCGTCCCCTACATCGATGGAAAGGATGACCTGGAAGCAAGCGTGGAAAACTTATTTATTTCAGTTGCTTCGGTTTTCGTTAAAGCACAGTTTCTGCGAGTAGAACAAGAAACCCAACTGAAATGTTTCAGTTAGGAACATCACTGTGGCGATCTTTAAATCGTTTTCAGGCTTGATTATGATGGGGCAATAGCAATCCATACTCAGTGAGTCAGTACATTCAAGGGAAGGAAGGAATGGGTTGTTAGTTTGACAGACGTTGCCGAGAACACCTCTGCATCTCCCCATCTGTCATGGGAAGGAAATCGATACTAGTGGGAAATCCAGCATATCTAGACTCACTATGAAAAATCACATAATCGTTTGTTTGAATTGCGAAATTAGTACGAGATACTCTGTAATACGGAAGAGCTTGAGCCTGAACCAATAATCTTCCGCGCAGAATGCAAAAACGGTTACAACTAGGCCATCATTGGTCCACTGTTCAATTCCGGCGTTGTTACGACATATGTATTCTCATCTTAACATCTTACCATCATCGTTGACCGATATTGGACACTAATACGTTAATAATTATGTTTTTGAAAACACTCGTTAAAATTTCAAATTCAATTAGCTCTTAAAACATCATTTCTCAATATTTCTCAAAATTGTGGATCAATACATGGTTCCGGAGTTATTCCGGTTTTCTGTTGGGGCCACTTTGGGTTGACATTCGGTTTAGATGTTCTGTATTAATTATACACACGGTGAACATAATATTTTCTCACTCAAATTATGTTATTGGACCAATGGCAGCGGTTCATGATCACATTGCCCATCACAGAAAAGATCCGGTGCCCCCGGGAAAGTGGTCACTTCTCAACAAGAACCAAAACCCGGTGTGCTACATATCAAACTTCATGAATTTATAAAAAAAAGGCTGGCAAAGGCCTTATTGACAGTCCACGGTCACATTACTCCTCCCGGGCATGTAACAATGCCCACGGACAGGGTTCCTTCCATTCATTTCGGCAAAAAATGTTCTATTAAATTATAAAATAATAAGATATTATGATAATATTTTGTTTGCGTAAGCAACAAGAAAATATTGTAAAGTTTGCCACGGAAAAGTGGCCAAGTCTCAACATGAATTAAAACCTGTTGTGTGACATATCAAACTTCATGATTCAGCCAATAATGGCCTTCTTGACCGTCCACGGTCACACAAGACCCCCCCCCCCCCCCGGAAATGTTCTGGTGTCCTCAAGGAAGTGGCCAATTATCATCAAGAATTAAAGATTGTCGTGCTACACATCATTCTTCTTGATTTTTAAATACTCGACCGGTAATGGGCTTACTGACAGTCCACGGTCACACTAAAGGGTGTCCACGATGAAATTGCCACACTATGAAATTGCTCTAACTTTTTAACCGTTGGGTAGAATTTAATGAAAATTTGGGTGGATTTAGTTCATAGTGCATTATTTACATCATTTACAGTTTTAAAGTCCTGTGATAAAACTCGCGGAAATGGAGTCGAAAGAACAGCTCGTGCGTGATAAAATCTTGCGCATTCATCACGAGAACAAGGATCTGTCACATCGTTCCATCGCTAAAACGTTGGGAATCGCGAATTCCACGGTGTTGCGAGTGATTAAGCGGTTCGAGGAACGGTTGACCACCGATCGGAAGCCCAGAAGTGAAGGAAAAAGTATTCCGTACAACACCAAAAATCACAACCGCGTAGTTGGGGCCTTCAACCGAAATCCGAACGCCTCCGTTAGGGATGTGGCTAAGAAGCTGCACCTAAGCCGAAGTTTTGTCCAGAAGGCCAAAACTAAGGCTGGGCTTCGAACGTTCAAGGTACAAAAGGCCCCTAATCGCGACGAGAAGCAGAACAAGTCCGCCAAAACCCGTGCCAGGAAGTTGTACCTCAACATGCTGACGAAAGTTGAATGCTGCATCATGGACGACGAAACATATGTGTGTGGCAATTTCATCGTGGACACCCTTTAGCCCTCCCGAAAATGTTCATGGGGCCCCCGGAAATGTTCCAGTACACCCGTTGAAGTGACCAATTCTCTACACGAACCAAACCCCGTCGTGAGGCATATCAAACTTTATGATTTGACAAAAATCGGCCGGTAATGATCTCATTGACAGTCCACGGTACGACAGAAATGGTACGGTGCCCCTGAATAATTCTGGCTGATTCTCGACAAGAACCAAAACCCGGCGTGCGACATATTAAACTTCATGATTTTGTTGAGCTCGGCCAGTTATGGCCTTATTGAGAGTCCATATTGCTCGAAAACCACTGGGAGATGGGGAGATTTAGGTTAGGTTTCGCGTAGTGATCTTAATGATATTTGCAGCTTGGTTTTTGGTGACATGATTTTCTTTTTTGGTTCTGCTTGCTACGGAAATCAAATGGAAACTAATAAATTGTGTGATCCCTCTCCGCTCATATATCCTCGTATTGAATTCTAGTAACATCGAAACAAATGTTATCAAATGATTTGCAACAAAGTAGGTGATTTGTATTTATCGATTTCAATGATAGTTTAATTTGCTGGTGGACATACTGCAAGTATTGAAGTTCTGAACTTTTCTTTCCACAGTAAATCACAAATAACTTTTTAACTGTTAAAAATGAGGTTAAAGTGTCTTCGGCAAAGTTTTTGCTTATAAAATTTCCCATATTTATGCTGCATTTGATTGATAATAACGCTATGTTTAATACCCACTTTTGATGATTGAATGCAGTGATGTACAACAAACAACATCATTTTAGAGAATTTGAAAAATTGTAACTAACAAATTGGACACAGAACATGCCGTAGCAATTTTTTTTTCTCTTATAGTTTTGACCCTTGGAAATCTGTGAATAATATAAAAGGGTGAGATTGTACTGAAATTTAAAGAACTAAAAATATTTATTGGATAATAGCTATGAAAAATGGACTTTTTCCAAAAATCTCGTCGGGGCAACCTCTAAACAACATTTCCCAGAGTTGCCGCCATACAAAAGTTTGTTTGTAACACTTTTAACTATCATTTGGAGGTTAAGCCCCCAGATTTCCAGACATAGTGCAATTTTGGGACACCCTAGTGCACAGGTACATTTGGAATTATCTCACTACGCGGAAATAGCGTACATGTAAACTTCCTGTATCTATAAGCTATATGAAATCAATCACCATCTACGAATTCAGGACATCTACGTGAAGTCCACATGCAGACTAGTGTGATATAAGACTGAACTAACCAGCCCACAAATTAGAAGACATTGGTAATCTGACCAACTTTCCCGAAAAAAAATTTTCACTGGAAATCCTATGTATGAGTGTCCATTGTAAGACTATATTACATAATATAAGCCATAATTTGTACGGGGTATAAAGATCAATATTCCCTAAATTTAACTTCAAGCTAAGGGTGGCCAGTTTACCACGTTTTCTACACTGAAAAAGTGAAAAAATTTCAATTACCGAATGTTGAGTATATTGATCGACTCTGATCTAGATTAGATTGAAGAGCATCTTAGATTATGTCACCTGGGAAAAGATTAAAGCTTAGTGAGCGGAAGAGGAAATCCGTGGTCGTATTTATATCAAAAATTTATGGAATGCGAGGCATTTGGATGTTCAGCAAGTGTTTGAGGGAAACGCCTCACATCCCTTCCTAGAAAGGTCCAAGGGACTTGAAGTTTGACATTAGGATTCCGAGGTAGGATGCGTAGGGGATGTCCATGTACGAGAAAGACTGGTTGAACCTAAAGCGCTAAGAGGTGGCTTACGAGGGTCATTCCGGGAAAACATTAGTGGAATGGTTGCTTCAAAATCGAGTATAGTGATATTGTATTGGCCGTGAAGTAGCAGCATACGTCACTGCGTGTCAGGGTTATAAGTTTGTATCTCTTTCGGCAAAACCTCCAATCCTTCCAGCTGTTACCAGTGGTCAAGTGACATCTTCTGAATCTTCTGGAGTTCAACAAGAAGTGGAGCGACCTTCCAGATTGAAACATTTCGTTATCGGCGAATTGAGCTTGAAAAGGGTAGACTGTCGTTCTGAAGAAAAAACGATATGTGGGACCCGCAGCATTACATACCAGGTTGATGTGTCTCACCTGAATTACAGTACATTTCATTGTGAATCTATACTATACCTTATGTCTATACACGTAGGTATTCGAGCGATAACAGTCGAGCGAGAAGTTAATAAACAGACGGCGTGCATGAGTGGCTAACATAAAGTTATCCGATGGTTTGCAAAATATAGTTTGCCTTAATTATCTAATTTAATAAAAGTAACAGAATACCATACCAACAAACAATATGTAACAAAACGTAAACTGAATATGCTAATTTTTATCTTAAGAATCATATTTTTGCCTGAATATGTTTTTATTAAACTATCAATCCTTTAAATTGGTTGAACCTTTTAACGGAATCCCTTTATGAAGGGCTTTGAGTGGGTTGGTTTATTTCCTTTAAATTCCGTTATAATTGCTTATCTTTTGACAGATACGCGTATTTCGTCTACTACTTGCAGACTTCATCAGTGCCAACTACTCAACACCACTTGTAACTGATGAAGTCTGCAAGTAGTAGACGAAATAAGCGCATCTGTCAAAAGATAAGCAATTATAACGGAATTTAAAGGAAATAAACCAACCCACTCATAGCTCTTCATATCAATGTTTGTTGAGATGGCTATGCGTAAAGCCGTTTAGCCTAGAATGGGATTATGTATGGTCACGATGGGTGCACAGGTTCTCTTGTTGGATTAAAGAATCGTAGACAGCTTGTTGTGATTCCGCATCAAAATACCTATTTTTTTTTCATCACGCGGTAGAGAAACATAACGGCGCAAGGGGTATTCAACTCTGCACACTTTAATTTCTGCCAAGAGATCAAGCAGCATCGAAATCTGCGCCAAGCGTTGTGCCAAGCGTTGTGCCAAGTGTTGTGCCGATCGTTCCAAAGTAGGCCGAAGTATATCAATCAAGGTGTCAATATCCCATGAGTTTGGCAACCCTGAAGTTA